TGGGATAGGCTGAACTAAATACTTTTTTTGCCACTGTATACTGTGTTAATACATTGATAGGCCCCTGGTCATAAGTTTCACCAGTTAATCTAATATTTTGCAATGTTACCAGCTCTACTTTATTTTTTCATATAACAATTGCCATTTCAAATGAATATTTCTTGAATGGGAATAGGAGTTCATATTGTCTTGTCATGGGAGTAAGTGCGTTTAGTTTATTAGTCCTGCAGCCAGTTCATCCGGAGGGCGCTCGCAGGAACATGCTGGACACAAGTTTTATTCCATTTAGTTGAAGATGATGAGGGAGAGTGCCTTGAGTTTTAGGATCTATCCGACTTGGCGGCTTTCTGTCGACTCGCTGGTATGTCTAACGCCCAGGGCATGGAGAAAAGCAGGAAGAAGTATGCTCGCTCTCTACGCTCTACATCTATTTACGTATGTGGTGTTACAGTTACAAAACACCTACACACAAAAATTATTTGTCGCACACTAAAAATATTTGTGCGTGGGGTGCCTGAAACCGCCTGAGTGGTTGCCTGGTGCTGAAAAAACAGCTAAGCTTGGTATGTACTGCTGGTCCTGCATCCCTCGCGGCCGCTCTGCCTCTCTGTGGTTAGCTCTTCCTGGATTCCTCCCTCCTGGACTTGAACGTTCTGCTGTGGGAGTGACGGTCGCCAGATCAGAGGAGAAGGCTTCAGGTGGAGAAGCGTCTGTGTTCAGAGGTCCCAACCTGGCTCCATGATTGGGAGAACCTGTAAAGGAGGAAGAGACAGTCAGATACACTTTCACCCTCCCCAGCAGTGGACAGACAGGACGAACCGGCGCACTGTGGTTTAGCAACAAGTGAGCAATGCTGTCAAACAGTGAGTCCCTGTAACATCGAAGCATTATAATTGCCATTTTGTGCAGAATTTGAGGCAAAGGAATGACATTTGCAGTATATCCGTAAAAAAGAGGCACACATTTTAAGAAGTACAACATTTCCAGACATTAAAGGTTCAATTTGTTGTAGAGGATTTGGTAGGAGTAAGAATGCGGACTAATTGCGTAGCTGTGTACCTTCGCAGGTTCACTGAATTATGTGCTGCCTCTGGTGTCCTACTGTACGCCGGAGGCGTAGACCCATCAGTATACTGTTCGTCTCTGTACAAGATTCG